TTATTAAGTCCTCCTTAATATCTTTCAACAATGTTTTGTAATATTCAGGGTACAAGTTTTTTTAAAATTTTTTTTTAATTTTTATTTTTTTTTCCTTTTTGTCTTTTTTCGTGTCCGGCAACGGATTGCAACCCTCAGTGTCGCGCCCGTCCCGGACCGGGACCAGCGATGGGATCGCACCCCTCGGTGTTGCGCCTGCCCCTTGCTCAGCCAGTGAGCGGGAACCGGTCTGTATGTGGGATCCGAACCCTCGACGGGAGTGCCGCCACGCTCCCAAGCGGCGCACTGTAGCAGTGCGCCACCGGGCCGGCCCCAGGGTACAAGTTTTACACTTGTTTTGCTCAATTTATCCCTAAGTACTTTGTTCTTTTTGTGCTATTATAAATGAAATTGTCTTGTTAATTTCATTTTCTGATTGTTCGATTCACTAAAATTTGGTGTCAGCCCAGACCAGTGCACCAACATTTCTCTCACTCTACTCACCATTTCTCCTCCTAGTTTTTTCTTTCTGACCTGCCAGTCAGAGAAACCTCTTTATTTTAGCAAGTGTGTTAAAAATCATCTCAGTGTAAATGGCCTACTTTTTCATTTTCTTACTAACACTTGTATAATATTTTCCTATTCATGATTTTAGGCAGTTTAACAAACTGATTTATACTAGATATGTATTATGTGGTTGACTTCTGAATCTGATATCCACAGTTCACAATGTGAAGTGATTTTGGAGGGACATATTGCTTCTTGAATCATTGTCATTTGTAAATCTTTTCTGGCCATGTTCATTTCAGCAGGCTGACCTCAAATTCCATTTCAAAAACGTTCAGCTTTTCTTTGTAATATATGAAGGCCCCATGTTTTTGGCTGTTAATTAATCTGTTGACTTTTTTTGCTGGACATTCAGAGCAGAATAATCTGAAATCACTTATAGCTATGTAACTGTCAAGTTTTTCTTCCTTAAAGTTTTGTAGTGAAAAAGAAGTATTTGAGTGATTTCAGTCAGGTTTTTAGTTTGTTTGAATGTAACAACTTCATTTAAGTGTTATTTTAATACTTCTGTAATGTTTTCTTTATTCAGCCTGGCTTCCTGTGTTAATGTAGTTTGTGTGTTAATGTCTGAGGTATTTTTTAAAACCATAATTTATTTTTTTAGTGGTTAATTATTCTGTGTTTTTGTTTTTTGAAGATAACTTTGGGTTTAGTGAAAAGTTGCAAATATAATACAGAGAGTTCTCATATACCCTTTACCCAGCATCCTCTTATGTAATCATCTTATGTAAGCATACATTCTATGGCATAGAGCATTTATCAAAACTAAGAAATTAGTGGTGGTACAATACTGTTAATTAAAATATAGAACGTATTGGATTTCACTTGTTTGTCCACTAATGTCCTTTTCCTGTTGTAGTATCCAGTCCAGGATCCCACAATGCATTTCGTTGTCATGTCTCTGTAGTTTCCTCCAGTCTCTGACAGTTTCTTGGTCTTGTCTTTTCTTTCAAAACCATAACACTTGACTTATTTTGTAGACTGTCCCTTAGTTTGGGTTTTTGTCTGGTGTTTTCTCATGATTAGATTGAGGTTAATCCATCATTGGGAAGGACACCACCGAGGTGATAGGCCTTCTTAGATATCATTATCAGGGAATGTCTGATGTCAGTATATATTACTGGGGATGTTAACCTTGATTACCTGGTTAAAGTATTGTCTGCCAGGATTCTCCACTGAAACTTACTATTTTCCTTCTCGTAATTACTGAATAGTATTTGGGAGAAGATACTTTCGAGACTGTGCAGATACCCTGTTTCTGCTTAATCTCACTCTTCCTCTCCTTAGCAACTATTGGTAGTTCTCACCTGTGGCAGTTACTGTGGTGCTCCAATGGCGATTTTCTATTTTTCCCATTCCTTCTACGTTTATCAATTGGAATTCTTCTATATGGAAGAGTGGTCACTTTTTGTTTATCTATTTATTCATTCAGGTAACTGTTTATGTCAGTGTGGGCTTCCTGGTTATTTTATTCTGTAGGTTATAATCCAGTACTGCAGTTGTTTGTTCATTGTTGCTCAAGTTGTTCCGACGTTTGCTGCCTGAATTTTGAGTGAATGTGTCAAGATGAAGAAAAATCTATTATGGCCTAAGTTACTTGACTGTTTTTCTGTTAGGATCAGACTAGAGAATCTCCAAATTCAACACACTCAAAATTGGATAATGTGAACTACAGAACACATGAAGTGAATTTAGGTTCCATTTGTTAAATGATAAAGTTCAGATTTTATATATAATTTAAAAATTCTTTATGCTGAAAGCATCAGTTATCATTATTTGACATAATAAATCTTGTTTTTAGGAAAAGAAGAAGTATGAAACCCTTCAGAGGGAAGAGTCTGAGGAAGTCTCACTTCCAAAAACCTCCAGAGAGCAGGAAATCCCTTCTTCAGCTTGTGAATTTAAAGGAGACCACCTGAAAGTGTTTACTGATTCCCAGCTCCAGAATGATACCAGTGGACAAAATGAAAGTGAAATGTTTGATGTACCACTCACCTCCTTAACTGTAAGCAGTGATGAGTCTGTAACATGTAACACGGAACCCCTGAAGGAAGGGGGAGAGGTCAGAGCCTATGCTGGAGACAATGCAATCAAGCCAAAGGTCGACCCTGGAGACAGTGTTGGAACTAAAGTAGAAACCCCCAAGAACTTTACAGAGGTAGAGGAAAATAGATTGGTACAATGTGGACCTTCAGAAAGCACACTGCAATCTAATTTTTCTTATACTCAGCAGGAAATGGAAAATTTACAAGTCAGAGAAACTCAGAATAGGAAAGAAGACAAACAAATCCTGGGTCATACTTCAGAGGTGCTACAGGATGTTGGCTTGCAGAGTTCTTGTGAAGCCAGACATGTTTTTCAGCCACCTAGAGTGAAGAAATTGTATCCTGGGTTACCAACTGAAATTTCTAGAGAAGTTCCAGCATTGGTGGCAGTGAAACCCTTCCTTTGTAGTGAGCGACTCTACCCAGAACTCCCATCTCAACCAGAACTAGTACCATTTACTAAAGAACAGCTAAAAATCTTGGAGCCCGGTTCATGGTTGGAAAATGTCGAGTCATATTTAGAAGAATTTGACAGCATGGCTCATCAGGACAGGCATGAGTTTTATGAGTTGCTTTTGAACTACTCTCGATGTAGGAAGCAACTGTTGCTGGCTGAAGCTGAGCTACTTACTCTGACATCTGATTGCCAAAATGCTAAAAGTCGGCTATGGCACTTTAAGGAGGAACAAATGTCTGTTCAGGTATTTTGACTACTGTTCTATAAAGCTTTCTGGAGCCTGGGGAATTTTTAGCAGAGCTGCTGTTCCTGTGATGCCGTCCAGGTTTAGAGTCTGCTTTTTACACCCACACCCTAGAGTCTCTTCTTACACCCACACCCTAGCCCAGAGTAGTACAGTGCAGCGATCATAAAGTCACATATCTGCAGGGCCCAGGCATGTAACCTGGAAGGTGAAGAGGCAGGGTGGGATAGTGGTCACTGGATAAGCTCATGCCTACTCAAGAGGGGCAGCCACTCTTGAGTTCTGGTTGATTGTTGCTGTGAGATTGTGATGGTCCAGAATTGCCACATCTTCTTATTTTTTTCCAGAAAAAGCTAGGAATCTGGATTTTTATGTGAGAGATCCGAATTTGTAAATGTTGGCAACTAATTACACACACACACACACACACACACAGTATAGACCAACAAATCATGTCTCCAGGTTAAATTGATATGTGAGAGATCCGAATTTGTAAATGTTGGCAACTAATTACACACACACACACACACACACACACACACACACACACACACACAGTATAGACCAACAAATCATGTCTCCAGGTTAAATTGAACTGGATCATAAGTTTGTGACCTTGGGTGTAATACCATGAACATCCAATGGGTAGAGAGTTTCAAGTTTGATTGGAGATGAAACAGGGAAGGCCATTAGATGCAGCCTTATGGAGGAGGCCAAGGTTACCATAAGCCATTTCATAGTGGTGTAGGAGGGATGGCAAGGAAGAGAAAGCTACTCTTGACAAGTTTGGCAGCAAAGGGAAGCTGGAGGAGATATTGGGGAGAAACACTTGATTCCTCCATCCTTAACCCTCATTTGTTTGGAGACCTGTATATCTCTTCATAGATAGGAAGGAGTCTGTGGAGAGGGAAACATTTGGAAATACTGAAAAAGAAAGGATAAAATCAAGAACACAGCTGGAGGAGTTAGCATTGGAAAGGAGAGGGGTTTCTTTCTTTTCAGCAGAACCACAAAGAATGATAACATCCAGAGATCTTATTAGATTTTGAGGTACCTTGAAATTGAGAGGAAACCACATTGGTCTCAATGTTCATAAGATAGAAAGTGAGATCATCAATCTTGAGAGTCTTAGGGGCAAGCTGTATTATTTTCTTGCACTCTTTCCTACTGACTTCTTAGGGTTATTCCTCCCTTCTCTGAACTTGTGATGTATTTGTGGTTGGCATTATACTCGTTGGCACCTGCTCATGTATTCTCTGGTATTGTTCTCTACACAGTAGTATTGTCTCCTTACCATGATTATAAGCTCTTTGAAGATGGTACTGAAGCCTATGTATCTTATATCTGCTGCCTGATTACTTCAAATGCAAAGAGTAACTGGTTTCATATTTTACCTGTTTTTCCACTGGAAGGGTATTTGTGCAGATCAAGTGAAAGTTTCTGGCTATCATCGCTACCAAAGAGTAGAGATGAATGAAAGTGCACTGGGGGAACTAAAGAAGCTATTTGATGCCAAATCTGAGCACCTCCACCAGACCCTGGCCCTTCATTCTTACACTTCCGTGCTCTCGAAGTTGCAAGTGGAGTCTTACATTTATGCGTTGCTCAATAGTTCAGCTGTTCTGAGATCTTTAGCAATTCATCAGCAAGGCCGAGGTGTGTAAGTAATGAAGGTCTCACTCTTTCTTGTGTTCTGAAATGAAAAAGGAATTCAGGGGTACAATCTGGTTGAATTGACTGTATGCTAATAGGTCCTATAAGGTAAAATTTGTGCTTGCAGTTTACCTTGCGTCCCCCAATGTAGGACTGAGATCTGCCTTAATGACGTTTCTTGGGAGCAGCTAGGTCTCCCTTCCCCACAGCTGTCATTCTCTCCTCCAGGATTCCAAAAAGCTCGCTATCATTAATGTCTCTGGCTGTTTTGGCTTATGTGTTCATTACCAACTCAAGTCCAAATGGAGTTTTTGATTCTAAAAAATCATTAATGTCTCTTGCTGTTTTGGCTTATGTGTTCATTACCAACTCAAGTCCAAATGGAGTTTTTGATTCTAAAAATAAAAATCAGAATGCTTTTTTATATCCTCTGTCTCTTGCACTTTAATTTTGCTTGTCCAGTTTGTTAGGCTGTTTTGTTTAATTTTCAACATAGGGTCTATAATGTTCTGAATTTTCCATCTTATTTTGGGTTCTAAGAAATTAGCCTTAACTATGTGACCTATATTAAGTATTAAATATGCTCATTGAATTATGTGATTTTTATTTCTGGGAGAGAGATTAGGATCCTTTAAAGTGAAATTCCATCCCCTTATCCCCTCACCCCTCCCTTGTTTTCTTAACTAATCAAAGAGCTGTGGGTAGGCCAGAGATTTACTGATTTTTTTTTTTTTTCTTTTTGCTGCTGGCCTGTATAAGGATAGAACCCTAGACCTTGGTGTTAACAGCACCATGCTCTAACCAACTGAGCTAACAGCCCTATTTTCAATAAAAAATAATAAATTATGATGAAATTGATTTTTGCTTGTTGAAATACTTCAAAATTAAATATTTTTTTGGTTTTTCTGTTTAGTAGCAATTCAAATATTTTGATCCAACTCTCTCATTGTATTTTTATCAGAACTAAATCTTTTTTTTCTTTTTTGGTGGCTGGCCTGTATGGGAATCTGAAACTGTAAGCTTAGTGTTATAACACTGTGCTCTAACCAACTGAGCTAACTGGCTAGCCCTCTGAACTCTGTTAAAAACCATCTGTTAGAGGGTTTTTTTGATTTGTTTGTTCTAAGCGAAGACACTAAAAATTCTTTCAAAAACCTCATTTATGTGCGACTCATTTAATTCTCTCTTTAATTCATAGCTTCTAAACAGGCAGAAAGCATTCCCTCTGATCTGTGTCAGCTGAAGGAGTGCATTAGTGTCTTATTCATGTTCACCAGGAGAGTTAATGAGGATACTCAGTTCCATGATGATATTCTTCTCTGGCTGCGGAAATTGGTAAGGAAACAGAAATAGACTAGTAGTCATTTAATTTCCTAATATTTAAGAATTATCTCTTATTTCAATGTATTTTTTCTTCAACAGCTGACCCATTTAATGGATTAATTAGTGACTTCTTTGATATGACATGGTAATAAATTCTTTGTCTAGTTCGTTATTGAGCACAAAGTGCTTTTCTAATAAACGTTGTATTAAGTGAACTCTGGCCTTCAACTTAGGAAGAAATGGGATTGGGGGAAGTATTCCAAAGTGAAGACTAAATGTGTATTCAGAATATTGGTATCTGATCTAAAGTTTTTCCTCATTCTTTTTGTCATCTGTGTTTAGTGTTGCACTTAATCATATTTAAAAAAATTTTTTTTTAAAGAGAAAGAAGAAAGGTATCAGGATTTGGAAAACTTAGGAAGGATGTTAGGTGTATTACAGAGGGGGTGGGTATTTGTTTATTGGTTTTGTTTCTCAATGGTGCTGCCTTGGGTACTTTTTTTACGTTTAGACTAGAGTTCTTAAATATTGGGTGATGTTCCAAGCATACAATTTAGACTTGAAAAATTATTACTAATTAAGAATAAACTACTTAGGTTGTATCTATTCACTTGTGGCCAGGAACGTTAATGATTTGTAATTTGCCAGAAAATAAAAATTAGATTTGCAGAGAAACTACTTATGGTGTTGTCATGGTACTTGTGAGTTCATAGGCCTCTGTGTGCTAGAAACTCAACCAGCAAATAGTATATCTTATGTCTGGTTACTACTCTTAGAGATTTCATGTATTTAAACATTGAATAAATGACTTTACTAGACCCCTTGATAAATTATTCTGATTTTTAAGTAATGAGACCATATGTTCTTTATTGTTCAGGTAACAGTGTTACAAAGAGTTGGCTGTCCAGGAGATCACCTTTTTCTTCTAAACCATATACTTCGATGCCCAGCTGGTGTTAGTAAATGGGCTGTTCCTTTCATCCAGGTATAATGAATGGCCTTCTGATTCTGAAGAAGGTGGAGTAGAGGTTTTATTAGACATTTTTCATGAAGAAATTGCTTAAAAAAAAAGTACTTAAAAATACTGATATAAAATAAAATTCTTAAAATATACCCAGTATATATTTGTAAGAGTTTTATGCAGAAACCGCCCATAAATGATGATATGATAGAATTGCACAAGTTCAGTTGTAGTATGGTGTGATAGATTCAAAGTACTTAAAAATACTGATATAAAATAAAATTCTTAAAATATACCCAGTATATATTTGTAAGAGTTTTATGCAGAAACCACCCATAAATGATGATATGATAGAATTGCACAAGTTCAGTTGTAGTATGGTGTGATAGATTCAGTAGTATTTAATTCTATAAAATTTCTGTGCAGGAAGGTTCACCAGGACTTTTTTCTGTAGTATTCAACACAGCTTCCTAAATTAATCCATTTCATACCACGATTGGTATAGGTAAAACAAAACCCACCAGAATGTTAAAGTTCTTTGATACTAGACGAAATCTCAGATCTGTGTGATCAACTCTCATATACTTAGGAGGTGACTATGTAGTTAATAGTTTCTCCTCTCTGCTGCTTGCCTTTGGTCACTTTGTTACTCTTAGCAGCCATTCAGAAGGGCAGAAGCCACAATGTATGCTAAGTTCAACTTCTTCCTTTTTCCTCTTTAGTATTTCTGGTGGCAAAACGTCAGTATTTTTAGGTAGAAGGAGGATTTTTGGTTTCTTTTTGGATTAAAGTAGCAGTACTGTCCTTCATCCCATATTGTTGCAGGTAATTGATGTAAACTGCTCGGCTGCCTCTAGTCTTTGGTACAGCCCAGTCAGTGTTGCCAGGTAACCCATGAGCTGTGTCTCACTCTCATGGATTAGGTGCCAGTTTCAGCTTCGTGCTCTTTTGTTAGAATGCTTGTGAACTAAGATTATGGACGCTTGGGTTATTGGTTTCTACAGTATACTTTTTCCTTTTCTGATTTCAGATCAAAGTGTTGAATAACCCATCAGGGGTCTTCCATTTTATGCAGTCCCTTGCCCTGCTGATGTCTCCTGTTAAGTAAGTGTGGAAGAGCTTTCTTTGTGTAGTAGAAATCAAAATGCTTCTTTCTGTTTAAGAATTGGCTTCTTAAACTGCACAGATCCAAAGAAGAACTGCTGAGGGAAGTGTTGGCATTCTAGAATTTAACATTGCAGATTTTCTTTGGATTTTTTACCCCTTGTTCTAAAGTCACCCTTTTAACTGCATATGTATAAACAATTATCCTTCTTTAGGTCCCTTTTTACAGGGTTTGTCTCTCTTGTCATATATGCCATTTAAAAGGTGCCATAGACAGAAAAGATGACCCATTTCTTAGAAGAAGAGATTTAATGCCAGAAGAAGAAAACAGAGTCAAAGAGATTTAAGTGCTAAGTTTTGAAGCTATGATTGATGCAATAAAAAGGAGGAGAATAAAGAGTTGAGTGGAGTAGTCTGAGCGGGTTCCGTGGTAGATGACCTGGGTTTGAAGAATGGATAGGATTTCAGAAGAGGAGGAGTAGGGAGGGCATGTAGGTGGGGAGAACAGAGTGATTAAAGGTGCAAATGCAGGTTCGGATATCTGTGCAGAGGACAGGTAGGAGCTCAGCTTGGCTGGGATGAAGGCATGCAGGAGATGGTAATAAAGATGAATAACCCGGGTGGGTTGGATTGCAGAAGTCCTTGATATTAGAGTAAAGGAATCTATGGTCTTGTCTTTGTAGCAATTGAGGGTTTTTGAGCAGGGGTAAAAGTTGTATTTAAGGAAGATTAGGATAGACTGAAGGAAGAAGAAGAATGTGTACTTCTGCTTGAATGGTTACAAACATCTGGCTCTTCTGGCTCTGGAACCCAGCCAAGCATCAAGAGAGCACATTCTTGATTGGGGGAGAAGGCAGGGTCTGTGTGTAAGTGACCCTAAACAGTGTTACCACCACTGGCTCTTAGGTCCTAGAAAGCCTGTCTACTTCCAGGTCTGAATTGGGGTAATGGTAGTGGGAAAAAGAAGGGGAACCTAATGATCATCTTCCCAGGAAAAGATTTAGTAGATGATTGAGTAAAGAATGTGGGAAAGAAATGGGTCAGACATAACTCTGGACTTCTGAGTCCAAGTGACTGAGATTGTACTAGTAGCCCTAACAGGAAAGACAGAAAGGAGAGCTGTATGGTAAGGAGGAAAATTTGAAGTTATTGATGCATACAAATGGATGCATACTAGGGGACATCTGGAGTTCAGGACTGGAGCTCTTAAGGTAGAAAGGACAGCACTAGAGCAATGGAGCTGGAAGTCATGGGAGAAAGAAAGTTCCTGGTTAAAGATAGGAGTGGAAGAATTTTCAGGGTCAAGGCAGAGAGGAAAGAACAGAGGACTGAGAACTGGGTTGTGTTCTAAGAGAAGAAACTTTTCCTGGTTACACCTGCTCATCAGATCTACCTGACACCTTGTGAAAGCCTGGCTGGCAGGAATTCTCCCAGCTTCCTTTCCCTTACTGCCTGGGTGCATGGGACTGCTCCTACACATGGCAGATATGATTTGACTCACAAGTGTTTTTGCATTTTGTTTTTGTACTTTTTACCCCTAAACAATCTTTTGCATTATGGGTGGATTAACCTATTTTATTCGATAAGGCATGTTTCCCTGGTAACACTTTGTAAGCCTAGTTTGAGTTAAGGTACTGCAGCAATCCATATGAGGGTATTTCAGAAAGTTAAGGGGAAAAGTAGAATTGAAAAATAATATGAATCTTTTCATGAACTTTTTGAAGTACTCATATGTGTTGAGGTCCCACTGTGTACCAGGAACTTTGTTGGTATAACTGCTTTCCTGCAAATACTCATTACTAATTTATCTTTTTTTTTTTTTTTTTTTGGGGGCTGGGGGGTACAGGGATCCAAACCCTTGACCTTGGTGTTATCAGCACCATGTTCTCCCAAGCATGCCAACGGCCAGCCCCCATCATTACTAATTTAGAACTATAGTGTGAGTAGTTCTCCATCAAAAATTAGTGAGGTTTTAGCCTTTTTGTATTTCTTATTTACTTATTTAAACCATTTGAAGAGTGGGTCGATGTCTGACTCTTCTTCACTAATTTAGAACTATGGTGTGAGTAGTTCTCCATCAAAAATTAGTGAGGTTTTAGCCTCTTTGTATTTCTTATTTACTTATTTAAACCATTTGAAGAGTGGGTCGATGTCTGACTCTTCTTCAGAGTGAGTATATGATCCAAAATGCACTTGTGGTGCTTTCTATGTTTATGTGAGTGGAGTGATTTCCCTTTTCCTTTAGAAATCGAGCAGAGTTTATGTGCCACATGAAGCCCGGTGAACGGAAGCCATCCTCCTCGGAGCCAATGTCTGGGACTTGGACACTAGTAGATGAGGGAGGAGAAGAGGTAACTTGTCCTGTCTGCCTCTATGTTGATTCGAAGCTCATTTTTGAGCTCTTCTTATGTGCCAGGTATTGTTCTAAGTACTTTTCACGTATTGTCTCATTTAATTTTTCCAACAACCAGATGAGGTAAGGACTATTGTGATCCCCATTTTACAGATGAGGAAACTAATGTACAGGGGGGTGAAGTAACTTGTCATTGGTCAAATGTGGAGCCTTTAGAGCCTGTGCTTTGAGCCAGTGTGCTATGGTGCCATCCTTCTCTAGATTATCCTTCTCTTCAGTTGGAATTATTTGGAACCTGGAAATCAAATACAGCCATATTATGTAAAATTTTATATTAGGAATTTCTTTTATGTAGTAACTAGTTTCTGGAGGTGGGGTAAAGGAGTCCTACCTACAGATGATCTGAATCTGAATAATAAAGAGCTGGAGCTTACCAGGGTTCTACCTTAACTTCTATAAACTTCTTATCCAGATATTATTTGACTGTTTTTTTTTTTTTTGATGGTTGGCGAGTACAGGGATCCTAACCCTTGACCTTGGTGTTATAACACCACGCTTCAACCAGCTGAGGTAACTGGCCAGTCCCCAGATCTCATTTGGAAGGTAGAAGATGGTTCTCTGTTTTTGGTGAGAATCTAATGATCAAAAATTCATCTTCTTGAGATAATACTTGTTAATTTTTCTTTGTACTTCACACATGGTTGTGTATTTGTAAGGAATTTTTCCTCCAGCTAATTAGCAGCACTAGTGCTTTTTTCTGGTCCAAATCCTGATTTGATATTCTTATCTGGTATAGCTAGCAATTGGATTTACTAAAATCCCTCACTTTAAAAGGAGTTGAAAGTGTGCAGCAGACAGTTCTCAGAACGACAGCCATGACAGCTGTGGGGATCATGTCTGTGTATTTCCTCAATGGCTCATTCAGAATGGAGACCCTCCTTCACAATCGTTTACTCCTATTGAGACTTGCAGGAGGTGGTGAGATGGTGATAAATGATGTGGATGTGCAAATACTTTTGCTAGAAACTGAGCAGTTGTCCTGAAGAGAACTTCTCGGGAGCTGGTACAAATTGGCCTTTTAGAGATTGTGGTGGAGTAATTTGTTTTTTTTTTTTCAGAGTGGTCTTTCTTGAGAGAGAAGTCTTTTTTTCTGGTAGGTTTCCTGCATTTAATCCCAGACACAGATAGTGATTAAGGACGCTGCATTGTTGTCTGGCTCATGCTTATCACTCACTCAGTGTTGAGTAAATTCAAGAACTTGGGAAGTAGATGAGAAGGTTGGGAGTGATGTTGAATCAGAAAAGGCTGTGGGAGGAAGGCATTCTTGATTATCCACATCTGGGGTTTCTCAGCACGAGCCAGGTCTTAGAATCAGTCACCTGTACAACTTATAAACCTTGTCCAGGTCCACACCCAGACATCCAGATGTTTTAAAGCCTCCCTGTTGATTTTAATATACAGCCAGAGTTGAGAACTGCTGCTCTAGAGTTTCTAAGGCTCTTGTATGTTAGCCATTTGGACACATAAGAGGGTATAAATGAGTGGCTTAAAGAAATTATGAATGAATTGCATTAGTCCCTTGTTGAAATTGATACAGTCTTCAAGTTCTAAGGAACTTTTTGCATCCTTCCCTTTTGAGTGTAGGATATCTTAGGACAAAAGTCAGCTTGGTTTCTAAAGTGACTTTAATGCTCTGTATCAAACAAAAAGACCCCGAAGACTTCCCATATATAATCTCTGTATGACCACTGTTATTTTTATCCTGCTTTTAGTATCACTTCACTTCTTTTATCACATGGAACTTCAATAACTGGTAGCAAATACTAATTGCTTCTTCACGAGTGTGTTGAGTACTACAGTAGACCTTGATTTTGATGGAAGAGAATTGCAGCTAAAATAATTTGGACTCTAGGACATGGTACTTTAATTGATGTTGTCAGAGCACTGAGCCGTATCATAAGGTTCTCACTCTAGAGGATTTTTTTTTTCTCTCTTCTTTGGGATGGAAATTTAATGAGAACAGTTTCAGCACCCGAAGAATGGACATGACCCAGATACATATAAAGTTGTGCTTACAATTTCAGGGGATTTACAGGCTATCTGTGGAACCGAGATTGTAAATTTCTGTCCTGATGGAAAAGTCCGTGAAGATTGTTGAGTCTGTGTGCCATTGAGACCTGTGATAATTTAGCTTCTGTTGCTCTTGACTGTAGTGTGGTCTGAAGAAATCAGCTGACATACTTTTTCATCTATTCCCTCAGGATGAAGACCCAGAGACAAGTTGGATTCTGCTTAATGAAGATGACTTGGTTATCCTTTTATCACAGTTTCCATTTCATGAACTCTTTCAACATCTTCTTGGGTTTAAAACAAAAGGTAGATTAGTTTCTTTTGCCATATATAAAATGTGGTAGTGGCAAGCTCAAACAGAAACTCTGCATGAAGTCTTACTTCATGTGTAGGCTCCTGATCCAGATTTTCCTGTGCCCAGCTCCTCTAGAGCTTCCTTTCTCTTGAGCTTCTAATTTCCCACATAGTGCTTAAATGTGAGAAGTCCAGCAAGCTTACACATAGCCCAGCTTAAATACATTCTTTTTAGTTTTGCACTTTGTCTCAAGTTTCCTCTTTCATGTTGATATAGGAGCCAGAGTAATGGGCTTGTTAATTCCTTTCCATCTTGGCTTTATTTCCTCATTAAAGTATCTTTCAGTGTTTTTTCATAGTATTTATAATTTTTTCCTTTTATCTTATTAACTTTTAGGTGATTATTTACCTGAAACAGCAAGACCTCAAGAGATGATGAAAATTTTTGCCTTCGCCAACTCGTTAGTAGAACTTCTGGCTGTGGGGTTAGAAACCTTTAATAGAGCACGCTATAGGCAGTTTGTGAAACGAATAGGTTACATGATCAGGTAACAACTGTTGTTGGTCCATCTGTCTCTGTGGTGAGTTTGAGTGAAAGTGGAGAAAAGCCTGATTATGTCTTTCTTTATGCTCAGGATGACCCTTGGTTATGTGAGTGACCATTGGGCACAATATGTGAGCCATAACCCGGGCTCAGGATTGGCCTTGCAGCCTTACTCCATGGAAAAACTCCAGGTTGAATTTGATGAGCTGTTTTTGAGGGCTGTCTTACATGTGCTGAAAGCCAAAAGGTAATATATATGATGATAACGAACTGGTGAGAAATAACTTCTTGGCTAGTAAGAAAGATTGGAATAAAAGTCATTGACTGAAGTAGTAAAGTTCATCTGTTTCTTAGCTTGGGAAAATTCTTGGGCCTTAGTTTCCTAATCCTTAGTGTACCCCTTGTCGACTGAAATGATCTCTCTTTTAGGTTTCTTTCTATCTTAAAATAACTCAGTTATGATCTCAGTTTTGCCACCCTGAATTTTTGGGCAGCCTTGAACAGGGGAAGACAAGGGTAAATTCTATTACAGTAACCCAACTACAGTGCTTACAGTGAGGCATGGTAGGTGTTCAGTACATACAAATGATTTGCTGATCATTGTTCAAGTTGTTTAACTGTAAGGATTTTAAGGTCTAGGAATGTCATGGATCTTTGTCCCCTGTCTTGGCTGTGTAAATGCTGTCTTCTGATCATACCTTCTGTGTTGCTGCTCACAGCTTAGGATGCCTTTGAAATAGAGGCAGGGGCACAGCTGAGCATCCTGCATTGCCTTCCCTGAGCTTCTGGCCACGGGTAGGAGCCGGTTCTGCTGCATGATTGTGCCCTCCACTAGGAGATGTGGGCCGGCCTCCAACCCCACCCAGCTCTACTCGTGAACTGCTAGCTCTCCCCCACTTTTGCCCTCTCTTCAGCTAGCTGTCTGTACTCCCTCTTGCCATGAAGCTCGTAGCTATAGACCTTGATTTATTGTGTGTTGTTTAGTGAGTTTGAGTCTTGATCTGCCATTTACTGTTACTTTGGGCAGGTCACTTGATATTTGTAGTCTCATTTTCTTCATTTAAAAAATGGAGATGATAACGATACTACTGTTCCATCATCCTCATGGATATGTTAGGATAAACTGTGGTAATGTGTAGAAATGCGCTTTAAACCATAAAAGACTTTTCAAATGTGAGTGGTGGCAGTTCTTGGGTGGTTTCAGATGAAGAACAAGGTAATTTAGAGACTGGGCGACAGATCAGGACTCCTTAGCTAAGTGTTAACCACTTTAAGGCTCTCAGAAGGCATGGGTCTAATGTAAATAGAACTTGGGCATAGAAATTTATCTTTAGATTACTCTTGTTACATATATACCATAAATTTGGTGATCTCATGAGATGCACCAAATCCCATGCAGAATTGTGCCAGGAAGTCAGTGCAGTAGTACCTGCCTGCTGAAGCTGGCATGGTGCGTAGGAAGAGTCTTCCATCTCGGATCTTCTATCACTCATTCTTGTGCTTGTTTAGCTGAGAGGCAAAGCCCTCTTCCTAGTTACTTACTAGGGTTTATATATTGAGCTGTGAACCCTACTTATACATATGTATATATAATTCACAAAGATAATTGTTTTAAATTTTAAAATTGAGAGCTACTGTTCTTGAGCATAACTTATTTTATTTTTTTTTGTGACCGGTAAGGGGATCGTAACCCTTGGCTTGGTGTCGCCTGCACCGCGCTCAGCCAGTGAGCGCACCGGCCATCCCTATGTAGGATCCGAACCGATGGCCTCGGTGCTCCCAGCGCCGCTGTGCTCCCAGCGCCACACTCTCCCGAGTGAGCCATGGGTTCAGCCCAAGCATAACTTATTTTAGAAAATAAATTATATAAGAAAAAATATTTAAAATCATGAAATTTAAATTTATTTGGCATTCCGGTGGAAACTTTTGACAGTACAATCCCCTCAACCTGAGCAAAACAAAACCAAAAGACAGACAACAAAAACCTAAGCCAGACTTACTGCATGCCTGCCATATAGGGAATTTTGTAGCCTGAAATATACCCTGTTTTGTGACGTTACTTTTAAGCTTTTGCATTTTCTCTTCATTGTCTTGGGATCCATTTTAGAGCAGCATCAGGTCCCATGGGAGATGTTAGGGTAATTATTTAATAAGATAGAAGCCTGCCACACTTGAACTTAAAAATTTCTTTAATCTTGCTCAGAAGTGTAGCTGTTGCTTTTCCAGGATCTGGGTCAGTGTGGGTTTGGGCCACCAGTAGCCTGCCTGGATTCATAGATGTGTACTATGCATATCTTTTGTGCTATTCCTTTCTTTTTTCTTTTTCTTTTATTAAACTTGATTTATTCGTAATTGGTTAATTTGTAGTTATGCCCAAATTATAGCAACAGTTCTTAGTACCTCACTGTTTTTTAAAAAATATTTTTACTATTACGATAAAATTCACACACGGTTTTAATAAGCATCTATTGAGTGTGTTGATTGTTTTCGAGATACTGGTTTAGCTACCAGATAATTAAAATACAATGCTCTAGTTATAGACTGGTTTATGTAAAGATGAACAAGACCTGGTTTCTGCTCTCAAATTGCTGGTAAGCAGGTATGGCTACATAAATTACAGTACTGCAAGATATTTCTCATAGTGTGGTTTAAGAATCACTTGAGTCTGGGCCAACCCCATGGCTCACTCGGGAGAGTGCTGCGCTGGGAGCACAGTGGTGCTTCCGCCGCGGGTTTGGATCCTATATAGGGATGGCTGGTGCGCTCACTGGCTGAGCATGGTGCAGGCAACACCAAGCCAATGGTTGCGATCCCCTTAC